TGTTTTTTTTTATTTTATTAGGGGTATTTAAACTTGGATAGGATAGTACCACTCCAGACCCCAGATACTCCTCATCCAGCTGTTCTGGGTGAATCCCTGAGCAGGGGATCCAGTATCTAACCCATAAATAGTAAAACAGTCCTTGGTGGCAGGCTCCATCTATCCACTAGAGTACCTCCTTCCCCTATCTGGCCCAGGGGGTGCAGGTCTACTACCTCAGTCCTTCTCCTGTGCTGCTGGTGGGTTGGTGGCTGCTACCAGGCCTTTTAACTGCGCAGCTCCTTCCCTGCTACACAGGTAGTCCTTGTTCTGGGGGCTGGTGAAGGTCCAAGCTTTCCTCCTTCCAAGCTCCACTTCCCGTAGGTGAGCCCCTCTCCATCTGTGCCCCCTCCCAGGCTTCTCTCTCCAGCCTCACTCTATCTCCAACTTCCACCCGAACTCTCTCCTCCTCCTTCTCCTTGCTGAGCAGATTCAGTTACTCTTAAAGGTTGTGCTGGATCCCTGCCAAGTCTCCTGTTCGGGACTGGCTAGGATCCTCTAAAAGTACAGATTAGCCACTCCTCAGATCCACCCACTGTCCTAGATCTTTCTCCAAAGTTCTAGAACAGGGGGAAATTCCAGAGGGCTGGTCTGCAGAGCCTCTCAGCTCTGACCACAGCTATCACACCCAGGCTGCTACTCCTTGCTAACCGTTGTAGTCTAGCTCCCCTTAGCTGACTCGGAGAGTGCTACACACAATTAAGAAATGTATGCATTAATATACTGGAAAATGTTATATTCCAAAGTGCTTTAGCCTGGAACAGAAGCAGAAGCCTCTATATGATATGATCCCTATGACAGAAGCCTGTCTATGACATGACCAAAAGAGACAGCGGGCACCGCCATCTAAAAGTAGATTTATTTGAAACAATAAAAACAAGTTAAAAATTGCAATCACATTGTATAAAATCATAAATGCATTCCTGCAGTAGTCCTCTGTTATCTGCAGAACTCGGCAGGGCAGGATAGAGCTGGAAGATGCTGGAAGTAGCTTGGTTGTATATGCAGGACACGTGGCTGGAGATTGTAGAGTCGGAGCAGGAAACAGTGACAACCGGTGTCTTCAGCGGGAGCCAGCATGGAGTGCACTGTCAGCCTCACACCAAAAGCAGAGCCAGAGATAGACGAGTATGAAAGGATGGAAAGGAGGTGTTGGCATGCGTTTCAAAGACAAAGGTGCATTTATTATTATTTTTATTGTTTCAAATAAATCTACACTTAGATGGCGGTGCCTGCTGTTTCTTTTGTTTTGACAGTGCAAGAGTTAATATTCTAAATTCGTACAGAAGAGCTGCAGCCATTTCACGTGGACACATTCCTTTCGGGACTTAGAACATACTTTTACTAGTGTGTTTTCCCATTTCCATTGTGACTTTGTGACTTTATCCCCACTCCACCGCCATAGCTATCTTAGCGCCATATAGTTTGTTTTTGTGTCTATGACATGATCCCTATGACAGAAGCCTGTCTATGACATGATGTGTGTGCTACAGTCAGTGCACTAGGCAAGTTGTCTCCAAATGTGGCCCAAAGGTGTGAAGCAACCTATGCTTGCCTTTATCCAGCCTTTGGGACAATACTGCTCTCACTGACACCAATGATACGGCATTATTTCTTCCACTGACACCAATGATGGGGCATAATTCTTACCAATGACGACAACAATGGAGCACTAATTCTCCCACTGATACCAATGCTGGGGCACCATTCCTTCCATTGATATCAACGATGGGGCACTACTCCTCCCACTGATACCTATGATGGGGCACTAAAGTGTCCTTGGAAAGTTTGGAGACCATGCTCTAGGCAATGAAATATATTTGAAGGAATTGTCTTACTTTTAACACTCCTCTATACAGGGCACCTTTTCCTACCTCTGCCCTGTCAGATGCACTCTGCAATTTTCTTTTATTGTCTGCCGAACCTCTTTTCACCCTCTTTTCTTTATGCAGACCTCTTTTGCCCCTTCATCTCTATGTAGGACTCCCATTTTACCTTTTCCTCTATATGTGGAACCTCCTTACTTCCTTCCACTCTACATGCAGGACTGATTTTCTGCTCCCCTCTATGTGCAGGTCCCTTTCTGTAGTTTGAATGATGATCCTACTCCTGTCTTCATAAAAAAAAAAAAAAAAAAAAACATCAGGAGGAGTAGATCCCCTTATAAAGACTTGGAGCTAAAGTGAAGACCTCTGAAATATTCATTTTTGTATTCATTTGACCTTTGAAAATAAACTCCCATGCACCCATAAACATCAATTACTGATTCATCTGTGGCCTCACAATTTTAGTCAACATATGAAGAAAATGTTTTGCCATACATCTTCCTCTAGAGTCTTAGGAAATCGAATTAAGTAATCCAGAAGTATTACGTTCTTAGATGTGGTTTTTTTACTTGAAAGAAATCTACTGTTAGCTGTTTGTGCTTAAAGAGTGTTAACTGCAGTTCACGGATACTTTCTTAGCCAAATCCATCTAAATCTACTAGTACTTCTGTTAAAGGGTGCCTCTGTTGCTCCTCCAATTAGAGTAGAGACACCTTAAGACAAGTGAGTTACTGGCTTGATCGCCAGGTGAAAATAAAGAGAAAAATGCTCCCATAACATCTGTTCCTTTCCTTCATTATATACCTGCTCTGCTTTTCTCTAAATGGCTTTCTCAAATTCATTGTTTTGAATTCTATGTTTACCTGTTTCCATTTGACGCTATTGCCCCTGCATGGGCTTAACAGCTGTTATGATTTTGTCACACTTACCCCTAATGCAGGTTGTCAGGCACTATAGCTGGCTTCTGTGTTCTTCACCTAAAGCGTCCTTTCCCATAAGTCAAGCTGGCCTGCCAGTATTCAGTTGCCCCCGGGTCTTATATTGTCTATATAATGCTATAGTACCTGGCTACCACACTGAGGCAGGCACAAACTAAGCACAGCAAACAGGTACTTGTGGTTGGCAGACTGCCAAAGTAGTTCAACAGTTCAGGTACAAGGTAGACAAGGTTCAGAGTAGTCAGGGTCCAATCCGAGTCAAAAGGTAGGCAGAGTTCAGAGAATAGCTGATATCTGATCTGATGGCATAAACAGGAGAATCCAAACAGCAGAGCAAGACAGACAAACAGGGTGCTTGAAACAGAGGAAGAAACACAGCGCCTCTAAGTGTAGACTGTGATGCAAGTTTATTAGTTAAAAAGTAAGTAGGCAACTCACATGTTCATAGATAAATACAGGCTCATCATAAATACAGATGCTCAGTCCGCCTCATTGCCAAGATGGTAAGCCGCAGTGGAATATATCATAGTAGGACGGTGGGGAGCGCTTGAGTTGGGGGAGATCACCAGGATGTGCTGTGGTAGCCTGGTGTGGGATGTGGTGTCGATATCTGATGTCTGCCAAGTGCAACGAGTTTCTGAGCATGCGCAAGGTCCAACATAGACCAGCACGCTAGTATCTCAAGCATGTCTAGGCACTCTATCACAGGAATGAGACTGCAGGCTTGGCTGGCTTAAATCAGGTTTAGTCTCCAGTCAGAGACTGGCTGTTAGGAATGGACTTGCCAGTAATGGTGGGACTCACCTGCCTTGTGGGCTGCAGTACCAGGGCTGGCCAGCGGGTGCTCCCAGCAATCAGAGACTCAACCCTGCAGCCAGCCAAACACCTGAAACTGCTTAGGCAGGTGTATTTAAGTGATGGCCAGACCTGCAGTCTTTGCCTTGGTGTGTGTTTTTCCTGGGCCCTGTATCTTGTTCCTGCATCCCTGTTCCTGTTCCTGTTCCTGTCTCTGTCTGATTCGTTGCTGACCCTGCCTGATCCGGACCTCTGCTGACTTCTCCTGCTTTATCCCTGGCTTGTGACCCCGACCATTCTCTGCCTGACCCCCCTGTACCTACCTGCCCGATTGTTATTGACCCGGCCTGCCTGACGACGCTTGCATTGTATGTATTATCTGTGGGTGGTTTGGTTCGTTTGCACTGTGTTATGTTTTAGTATTGCACTGCGTTTATGTTTGTATTGTTAGTCTTTAATAAATTATATTGTTTATAACTTATCTGAAGCCTGCGTTTCCCTGCGTCAGTCACATACCTCTGGTCATACCCTGGAGCCCTGACATTACACCAAGGACAATCCTGACCAGAAGTGGCTGCACAGGGAAGCCATCTTGGCTTGTTGCTGGGAAGGATGGATCTGGATGAGGTTGTGTATTTATATCTGCTAGTGTTTGATGACAGAGAATATGCTTATCAGACTCTGAAGGAGTATCCCCGGGATGAACTGCTAGAATGTATACGGCTCGCTCATGTTCTAGTAGATCAGGGCACAGAATTCTCTGAGGTGCAGCCATTGATTCAGGTTTGTGCGGAGTTGGTTTCATCTGGTACCCCCGAATGCAGGGATGAATTTTTGCCCCCATTTAGTGCCGACCAGGTAGAGTCCCTGGTGTGGTTATTAGAGGATGATGTGGATTACTTTCTGGAGCGTTATTCTGCATGTTCACCACAGATACTAAGAGATTGTATAAACGCAGTGCAGTCATTGACCAGACAGGCTTTGTGTAAACTGAGCTTCGTTCAACCCATACTGCAGACATGGTCAGACTTGTTGCACCCAGCCTCAGTCAGCTTACAACATCATTCCTCCACTCAAGGCACTCTTCCTACATCCCCGACAGCACCCCCAGTGACTGCCCAGTATACTCTAACTACCACATACCAGTCCTCTGCTCCCACTCGCTGCACCTATCCTTTCTTTAACCCTGTAAAGAAGTCCTCTGTAGCAACTGCTCCCTCCTCTGTTCCATCTTCCAGCTCTTCTCTGTCCTCAGCTGCTCCATCCGTTTACAAACCTGCGTTTACTTGCAGTGCCCCAGTAGTTAAAACCAGAAAAAAGCGGAAATTCTTTCCAACCAGTACCATCCTGCCAGTATCCAAACCGGTGAGCCTGCCGTCTGAGAACCTGCCTTCCGTGGTTCAGCCTGGTGCCTGCCTCGGCACCCGCACCCGCACTTCAGCCTGATGTCTGTACCCAGCCTGATGTCTGTACCCAGCCTGATGTCTGTACCCAGCCTGATGAACTGATCCAGCCTGATGATCCTATCACGCCTGATGACCCAGTGCCCGCTGTCGAGCCAGACGATCCGGTACCTGATGACCCGGTGCCCACTGTCATGCCCGGTGACCCGATGCCTGCTGTCGAGCCAGATGATCCAATGCCTGATGACCCAGTGCCCGCTATCATGCCTGGTGACCCGATGCCCGCTGTCAAGCCAGACGATCCAGCGCCAGATGACCCGGTGCCCGCTGTCGATCCAGACGATCCGGTACCTCATGACCCAGTGCCTGCTGTCATGCCTGGTGACCCGATGCCCGCTGTCGAGCCAGACAATCCAATGCCTGATGACCCAGTGCCCGCTGTCATGCCTGGTGATCCGATGCCCGCTGTCGAGCCAGACGATCCAGCGCCAGATGACCCGGTGCCTGCTGTCGAGTCAGACGATCCGGTACCTGATGACCCGGTGCCCGCTGTCGTGCCAATTGACTCAGAGCCCACTGTCGTGCCTGGGGACTTGGTGCCCACTGCCTTGCCAGATGACGCGGTGCCCGCTGTCGAGCCAAATGACCTGATGCCTGGTGACCCGATGCCCGCTGTCCAGCCAGACGATCCAATGTCTGACCCAGTGCCAGCGGTCATGCCAGTTGACTTGGAGCCCACTGTCGTGCCTGGTGACTCGGTACCTGTTGCTCCGCCTGGGGGTCCGGCACCCGCCGCTCCGCCTGGGGGCCCGATACCTGTCGCTCCGCCTGGGGGTCCGGCGCCCGCCGCTCCGCCTGGGGGCTCGAGACCTGTCGCTCCGCCTGGTGGTCCGGCGCCCGCCGCTCTGCCTGGGGGCCTGAGACCTGTCGCTCCGCCTGGGGGCCCGAGACCTGTCGCTCCGCCTGGGGGTCCGGCGCCCGCCGCTCCGCCTGGGGCCCGAGACCTGTCGCTCCACCTGGGGGTCCGGCGCCCCGCCGCTCCGCCTGGGGGCCCGATGCCTGTCACCCTGCCTGGGGGCCCGAGGCCTGTCGCCCCGCCTGGGGGCCCGATGCCTGTCGCCCCGCCTGGGGGCCCGGTGCCTGTCGCCCTGCCTTGGGGGCCCGGTGCCTGCTGCTCCGCCTGGGGGCCCGGTGCCTGTCGCCCCGCCTGGTGGCCCGGTGCCTGCCGCTCCACCTGGTGGCCCGGTGCCTGCCGCTCCGCCTGGTGGCCCGGTGCCTGCCGCTCCGCCTGGTGGCCCGGTGCCTGCCGCTCCGCCTGGTGGCCTGGTGCCTGCTGCTCCGCCTGGTGATCCGATGTGCCTCTGCCCGGAGTCCAGCCCGATGTGCCTCTGCCCGGAGTCCAGCCCGATGTGCCACTGCCCGGAGATGTGCCCCTGCCCGGAGTCCAGCCCGATGTGCCCCTGCCCGGAGTCCAGCCCGGAGTCCTGCCCGATGTGCCGCTGCCCGGAGTCCTGCCCGATGTGCCGCTGCCCGGAGTCCTGCTGCCCCCGATGTGCCGATGTGCCCTGCCCGGAGTCCTGCCCGATGTGCCGCTGCCCGGAGTCCTGCCCGATGTGCAGCTGCCCGGAGTCCTGCCCGATGTGCCGCTGCCCAGAGTCCTGCCCGATGTGCCGCTGCCCGGAGTCCTGCTCGATGTGCCTGCCCTGCCCGGTGTGCCGCTGCCCGGAGTCCTGCCCGGTGTGCCGCTGCCCGGAGTCCAGCCCGGTGTGCCGCTGCCCAGAGTCCAGCTCGATGTGCCAGTCTTTGATATCCCGCCAGTTACCAGACCCGGGCGGTGGAACATTTTGCCCAGCTAGGACTGTTTGGAGCGTCCTGAGGCCACTCCTTGGGGGGGGTACTGTTAGGAATGGACTTGCCAGTAATGGTGGGACTCACCTGCCTTGTGGGCTGCAGTACCAGGGCTGGCCAGCGGATGCTCCCAGCAATCAGAGACTCAACCCTGCAGCCAGCCAAACACCTGAAACTGCTTAGGCAGGTGTATTTAAGTGATGGCCAGACCTGCAGTCTTTGCCTTGTGTGTGTGTTTTTCCTGGGCCCTGTATCTTGTTCCTGCATCCCTGTTCCCTGTTCCTGTCTCTGTCTGATTCGTTGCTGACCCTGCCTGATCCGGACCTCTGCTGACTTCTCCTGCTTTATCCCTGGCTTGTGACCCCGACCATTCTCTGCCTGACCCCCCTGTACCTACCTGCCCGATTGTTATTGACCCGGCCTGCCTGACGACGCTTGCATTGTATGTATTATCTGTGGGTGGTTTGGTTCGTTTGCACTGTGTTATGTTTTAGTATTGCACTGCGTTTATGTTTGTATTGTTAGTCTTTAATAAATTATATTGTTTATAACTTATCTGAAGCCTGCGTTTCCCTGCGTCAGTCACATACCTCTGGTCATACCCTGGAGCCCTGACACTGGCCATATCAATCACCTTGCAGGTGGACAGACAGATATGGAGAATGTATCATGGCCAAAACCACAATGGAATGAGACCAGCAGCTGTTTTGAAGCAGGAGAGCTAGACGCGCTTGACAGATTTCTATACATGAAACTCCTAATAAAAACCATTGCACCAGAATAAGTTTCAGATGTTTTCCCTTGTCTTCCTACTACCTGTTGTAATGTGTCTGCTGTTTACAGAGCTCAATAGATCAGTCTGAAATTAACACACACTTGAATAAATCAGATCAGTAATTAATCCTTTTCAGACAGTTTTTAGTCAGACAAAGCCACAAGCCAAACAGCAAATGCTGTGTTGTATGTTTTGATACCCTATGGTGCTCTTGAAATGTTTTTTTCCATGTATTTAATGTTTATTTGTAAAATAATCATTGTATGCATGTAATAAAACCTATAAGCCTAAAGTAGATGTAAAGGCTACTACATTAAAGATAAATGTGCCTCTTCTATGGGGGCTCTTAAAATTTGAGAGTTAGGAACTATAGAATACTGGGGTGCCGTGACGAGGCTCTGTAGCTTACACATGTTTGCAAATGTGTGCTAACGAAATCCCTGTTTTTAACGCATAATGTTAGACAGGTTAATTTGGTTTGTTTGCAGGGTGGATGGCAAGTTAGAGCTTGGAATTTTTTTGTTGTTGTTTGACATACGTCGACCTTCCATGTGCTCCTTGCTGCGAAGGCCAGTTATATACGGGGTAGTGGCCATTTTTGTACTGTTGAATTGTTGGTCGCGTGGGCGCACTGGACACCTTAGTTGCCATTGAGCTGCATGCTGGGTGTCCAGTGTGCTCCTGTACCTTTAAGGAGGGGTGGGCTCCCTCAGGTTCATCTGCCCTTGATCTATCCATTAAATAGATGTGCCTCTACTATGGGGGCTCTTGCTGTGAAGGTCAGTTATAGACTGGGGCAGTGGCCATTTTTTGTGCTTCTACATTAAAGCAGGCATGCAAACAGCATCCTTTTCCTAATAGGTTTGTACTGCACATATATTTTAAACATAAAAGTGAACTTCATATCAAAGTAGCAATTGCTTTCTTTCCATTCCCCAGCACAGAATTTTCAATTGTGGATTGGGACTTGTGGCATTTCAGTATAATTTTCAGTGCCAAAGCTGGAGGGAAGACAACTACATCTCCCATTATCGCTTTTCTTGTCCTCCTAGCACTGAGGGGCAATACTCACAAGAATGGCAAGGTGGGGTTGGCCTCAATGCTTCTTAAGTAGATGTGACCAACACCAACCTTTTGCTCCACATTGTCTACATGGTGGAGATGCTGAGGGAAGAGCCTGATCACCACTGTAATTTTGGTGATGGCATCCAGGAGAAAATTGTGACAACTCCTTATAGCTTTGGAACCCATAAAAAGAAAATTAGATCTTTTACTAACAGGATTAATTAACAGGTATAAATACTGATAAAGAAATGAAACCTAGAGAAGGTAATAAGCTACTCAAAGCTAAAGAGCCTCTGACATTACATGAGCAGTTCTGCATTTTGACTGGACTTGCACTTTAAATAAATAAAATTGACCCACAGTATAATAGTTCTTTTTATTGTCTAAATGTTTTTTGTTTCTTTAACAAAGCAGATAACACAGGATGTTCTTGTGATAAGTATTAAGATTTTATAAGATCTGCTTGTTTATTGGTCATATCATCACTTCTGCATTTCACTGCAATCAGGTCTTTTCCATCTATTCATTGCCTGATGATGAGCATTTTCCATTCTGTGCAAGAATAGGTCAACATCACAGGGCCTGCACTTTGCACAATGATGCCTATAAGAGTACAAAACTAATGGTTCCAACAGTATTTCTCCGCTGCTTGGCTGTATTTGGCATTAGGTTGTGTCTTATTCTACAATTTATTTTCTTTAGTCTATGTATGACATTTGTGCTTTGGTAGTGATCATCTGAATAAGGTTTGAATTAATGCTTGGAAATTAACTTTATATAAATGATTAGCCATCGCTAAAAGCAGAAATAAAAATACAGAGGTGATATATACCGTATATATTGGATTAATGAAACACAAAGAGTTTTAATATTATTATTATTATTATACAGTAATTTATAAAGCGCCAATAGTTTGCTCAGCGCTGTACATTACAAAGGGGGACAGAACATGTGACAGAACAATACCAATACAATGCAAAACATGAGGGGATCGAGGGTCCTGCTCTTTCAAGCTTACAATCTAGGAGGGAGGGGATGGTGGCCCAGGAGGAGATAGCTGTGGGGGATGGAGTGGTAGGAAGAGTGGAGGAGGTCAGCAAGTTAACAGGGGGGGGTAGGCTTCCCTGAAGAGATGGGTTTTCAGGGTGCGCCTAAAGGAGAGGAAGTAGGTGATAATCTGATGGGTTGGGGCAGGGAGTTCCAGAGGATGGGTGAAGAAGTCCTGGAGGCGGGCATGGGAGGAGGAGACCAGGGAACTAGAGAGAAGGAGGTCTTGTGAGGAGCAGAGTGTGCGTGCTGGGTGGTACTTGGATATTAGGTCGGTGATGTAATTCGGGGCAGTATGGTGGACGGCTTTGTACGTCAGTGTTAGGATTTTGAATTTGATCCGTTGCGCAATCAGAAGCCAGTGGAGGGATTGGCAGAGGGGGGTGGCGGAAACAAAGCGGTTGGAAAGGTGAATGAGTCTGGCAGCCGTATTCAGAATCGACTGAAGCAGGGATAGCCAGCGGCAAGGCAGGCCAGTGAGGAGGGAGTTGCAGTAGTCGAGTCGTGATATGATGAGGGAGTGGATGAGCTGTTTAGTGGTTTCTGGAGTTAGGAACGTGCGTATTTTGGCGATGTTGCAGAGGTGGAGTCTGCACGAATTTGTTAAAGATTGGACTTGGGGATGGAAGTATAGGTTGGAGTCCAGAATGACACCAAGTACTCTGGCCTGCGGGTTTGATGGTGGCGTTGTTGGAGGTGATGGAGAAGTCAATGGGGGGCGGTGTCCGGGCTGGGGGGAAGACAAGAAACTCGGTTTTGGAGAGGTTCAGTTTAAGGAAGTGGAGTGACATCCAGTCTGATATGACGCTCAGTAGGTGTGTGATTCGGGCGGAAACTGAGGGGGTGAGGTGGGGGGTTGAGAGATAGATTTGTGTGTTGTCGGCATAGAGGTGGCAGTTGAAGCCGTGAGAGTGTATGAGTTGGCCAAGGGAGGAGGTGTAGATGGAGAAGAGAAGGGGCCCGAGGAC